GGCACTAGGAAGGGAGAATTTTTTACCTTTTGCTGAGGGAAAGTGATTTGGTAGAAAATAATGTCTAGGAAGCAGACTTAAATATATCTGGAGGATTTCCCAAAATCTTTTAGCAAGGCTCAAGGCTCACTAAATCATTCAGCAAGGCTCACTAACACAAAAAACCATCAACCTCCTCAGTTTTCTAAGACAAAAAAAGAGAAAACAAGTTCAGGAAAACACGCAGGCATCGGCTCAACGCAGAATAACGAAAACTTCCCAAGTTCGCTGATAGGACGTCCACGCCTGGTAGCTTCGCAGTCCGACACATCGATCTCAGACTTCAGCAACTTTTACCTCTGCATCATCATAACTCGATACTGCCAAGATGGGGGGCTAATTGTTGGGGTCGGATTTCACCCCTACGAGATCGATATGGCGACGAGATCAACTCCACAACGTCTTGACGAAATCAAAGCAAGTGTACAAAGGCCCAATCTGAATCTAGGCCCAAAATGACATTAAACCCATAAACAAAATGAACTTAATGGAATAATGGGGCTAAATTAGATATATTGCTTAATGGACCAATCCCATTTTATTAACTGCCCATTTTACCTAAAAATCCTATATATAGCTCAGTGTATTCACCCAAAAGGGGATCGAGAATTCATTTTGACATATACTTGTATTCTGAAATAGTTTTCTAACAGCTTAATAAAAACCTCTCTTGTGATCTTTGCATTTGGTGGATTTCTATAAAATTTTACAAACCCAAAAAAGTTACTTAGTCTTATTGTGAGATTCAACCCCCACACACCACACCCTTGGAAACAGGTACTAAAGATTTGATTGGATCATTTTAAGTTTTGAGTAAATACTTTTGGTAATTTCTAATGCCACTATGGCAAAGAATGTAGTAGAACACTTAATGGACAATAACAATGGGAGGCCTTCTCTTCCAAAAGAGGAACCTGACATTGACCCAAATGATTGGAGAACTCTAATCTCACCCGATTCACGCAGGAAGATTGTCAACAGGATGTAAGTTATTTAGTATTTATACATTACGTTTTGTATCTTCAAAGTAGCCATCTTTCTCACTCTAGCTTCATTTTCGCCAAGCTTGTTTAATATTGCTATGTAGAAAACAGAAGGTTATAGATGTTTTTTTACTTAATTACTTACCACTTGCGCAGAATGGAAACACTAAGAAAGTACCTTCCAATTTCTGGAGCAGAGGGAATTAACGAGCTAAGACGAGCTGCTGCCAGATTCGAGGAGAAAATTTTCAGCGGTGCTGTTAACCAGGTAATAATTAACCCCTCTTCGAACATATATTTTGTGGTAAAGTATAAAGATTTGTGCGGCAATGGACTCCACAACATGGGAAAAAAACCGAATTTTGGTACCCCGCGTGACGCTTAGTCCAAATACATGGGCATGTATACCTTTTTGATCTTCTTTTATTTCAATTTCCAGACTGATTACCTTCGGAAAATATCCATGAAGATATTGACTATGGAGACCATGT